GAAGACATGGAAATAAACTCATGAATCTATGAATCAACCTGATGAAATGTGTTGTGTCTTTACCTATAATATCATCAATTAGAGCAAACATTCATTGTATTTATTAGTTAAAAGTTAATCAATATAAAACATAGATGATCACATTATACAAATCAAGGTACTTGGTGATTCCTCATGAGCAAACCTAAAGATAGAGAGAATAACTAAACCCTAGTGTGATCTTGCTGTGATTGAGTTGATATGAGATGATAGAGGAATCTTATAGGCAAAAATTGGGGTACAAAAAGGGTCAGGTATCGAATATTGACTATTCATCACTAAAATCCTAATACTTTGCTTGTATCTCTTTTTGCTCCCACACTTACTTGATCGTCAGAGTGCCTTGCATGTATAATCCCCTTTTTTTCTTCCTCGACTTTCCAATCCGTCCGAAGATTATCATCTGGTCACCTTACAGATTGAATGATTCTTATAGCATGTGCATGTTACTTTCATTTACAATTCCAATATATTATTAATTTCATTTCCATAATCAAATATAAATAAATTTTAATAAACATATTAAATGTATTGTTACTTTTAATATAAACAAAATCATGTACATTAATTATTTAATAAATTTAGAAGTGTGAAGTATCTCATATAAAAAGGACCGGAAGAAGTATATTTTCAATGAATCTGAAAAGGTGAAATGTATCTTATAAAAAGGACCGGAAGGAGTATATATTTTCAATTACTATTTTTATTTCATTTGAAACAATATTTTCATAAATATATTAAATGTATTATTATTTTAAATGTTTATTAAATAAATTGATGTCAACTAATATTAAATGTATTAATAATTTTTTATAAGAATTTGATACATTGAAATATTATATGAAAAATACATTGGAAATAATATCTAAGAAATCAACTATATTCTATAAAATATATTCTATAGTTGATATATTCAAATATATTTATTAAGTTATTTAATACTTAATAAATTAAATTTTAATACTTAATACTTAATAACTTAAATATTTAAATACTTAAGATTTAATAACTTAAACTATTTAACTTATTTAAATGCTTAAGTTATTTAAACATTAAGTTCATTAAATTTAAGTTATTGTACATTTAATAAGTTTTTAAGTATTTAGATTTATTAATTTTAAATTTAATTTATTTTAATTTTTAAATTTATTGAATAATAAATATTAATCAAATTAAATTACAGTTTGTTATGTAAATGATCCTCCATCACATGTAAATGATTATATTAATCAAATTAAATAATCCTTCATCAAATTAAATTATTTGATTATGTACATAAAATAATAATACATGAGACTTTGTATACTATAAGAATACTTAAGTTCGTTAATATAATATAAATATGCAACCAATTCCGTGGATAGGCATTATCCTTGTAATGATAAGGACGTAGGTTTAGCATTTTTGATAATCGAATGCGATTAAGATAAGAAATAAGAGAATCTTTAAATTTTAGGAGAATTTATGCAACTTTTTTATGAAGGGTTTTTCAAAAAATGCGAATAAGGCAGCATTGGCGTGGGGAGGATTTAATAACTATTAACTCTTATTTTAATTATATTTAATATTATATTAATAATAGTCGTACTATATCAGTATATTTTTATTAACATAATTTTGTTATTAATAATGAAAATTTTGTTTAGTAAAATAATAATATTATTTTAATAATATTAATATTATATTGATGAGAGTCATACTTTATCCGTATGTTATTATTAATATAATTTATTGTTAATTGATAAATATATTTGTAATTTGATATTTACGTTAAATATGATTTGAGTACTCTATCGATATTAGAAATTTTTGGTGAAATAATATTTTATAAAGTATATTGTTATATTTCTTATTTAAAATTATCGAATCTATAATGAGAAATAAAAAATTATTGTAAAGACATGTAATACTTTATGAAATTTAATATTTATATTTAATAATTTTTTAATAGATTTAAATTCTCTCTGTATTATATAAGTAATTGACATATCCCATCGGTGTGACATTACTTGACATGATCAGTGTCTGATAGAAAAAATAATTAAATATTTGTTTAAATATTTTAAAATTCTTAGATTCATAATTCAACTATTTTTCTCTATCAAGTGAGAGGATTTAACATGTCAATTATATAAAAATGAAAATCAAATATTATTTCTTTAATATAATATTATTTAATAGAGACCTATATTGATGATATTATAGTCTTATGTTATTGATGAAAATTTAAGAATATTTGTGTTATATCTCAATGATAAATAAAATTAAGTCTCATATTTTTCTACTACGTATAATATAATATTTTTTCAAATGTGTGTGATTATAATTAATGACGGAACTAGGACCCCAGAACAGAAGATACAAGAATTTTTATTATATATATTTTTATTATTATATATATATATATATATATATATATATATATATATATATATATATATATATATATATATATATATATATATATATATATAATTTATTTTTTAATAAATGTAAATTAGTAACTTATAACTTAAAATATACGAATATACGAAGTAGTGTTGTCTCTAGAATAATCAATTTATATGAAATTTATAATAAAATATAATAAACCTATAGTTATCATTATTCTTTTAAATCATTTTAGTTGGTAGTTTTATAAGGAACATTAATTGAAATACGTGAATTTGAACACACAAGATTCTATATATTCACCTTTAAATGGTGAAGTTCTAACCACTAATTAAACTACTTCAATTTCTTTTTATAATTATAATTTTCAAGTACTAAAAAAATGAAAATATATCTCTAACATATATATATATAGTTTAAATTTATAAGTTATCTTAATTAATATGAATAACACGATGGTGTCTACTAAAGCCCATGCAACATTAATTTGATAATATCAACTTATTATTAAAATAAATGAGATTTACGTATGACAGAAAAAAGCAAGCGAAGGAGAGAGTGAGTGCAAGTTTTAACGTGTGAGTGAGATTGAAAAAGGCAAGTGAATAAAAAAAAGGGTGCAAGTTTAATTATTCAAAGGGTGCAAAATATTTATTTAAAAAAAAAAAAAGCCAAATAATAAAATTTGAGAGGCTGCAGCTGAATTCCTGGACTCAACATGGACTTATTTCTAATTATAATGGTAGCATTTGAGATTTGAGTAAGTTATTAAGATATAGTATATAATTCTATATTTTATTTAAAATTATAGAAATTTGATCTCATTCAAATGACGGTAAACCTTTTATATGACTATCATATTCTTTCATGTGAAATTATATCAATAATGATATATTTTATTTATGCAAAATATGTGATTGAGTTTGTAAAACTCTATTGATGATATATTATACAACCATTTCTCCATATTATTTTACAATAAAAATATAATTAATATCCTATTGTATAATCAGAGTATATAATACTAGTGGACTCTGATAAATCTTTATATATGTTAGATAAGTGAGAGTGCATGTATACATAATTATATAATCTAAAAAATTTTAGATTATTATTCTCTTATTGTCATATATTCTTGTTCGCGTTATAAATATGACATATTCTAAGAATACTTCAAAATATACCATAACTCTAAGAAGTCTTATTCTATTATACTGAGATATATATTATTTTCTTAATTAATCTCAGGAAACATCATAATTTGATGTTTAGGTTGATATTAAAAATAAACAATAATTCTTTAGCATGCAGTTAATTAGTGTTTTGACAATTATTGATATTCTAATATTAAAATCAATATTTTTAATAATTAATTATTGTCATCTAAGTGAGAGATTGTTAGATTAATTATTTAATTAATTAAATATGGACTGAAATAATTAATTATTAATTAATTATAATATGGTCAATTGTTATTAAATATTAATTATTAATAAATTATTTGATTGAGTTGTGCCGGAACGGATTGTGAGGGTTGAACCATCCAGTTAAGTTCAATGAAAGATCTCTGCCTTCAACCGTTTAGCTATTTAAGCATTGTCTCATTAAACAATTAGCATACTTCTAAAAACTCTAAACAACAATGAAGATAGTAATCCTCTCATAAGCACTTTTCGATGAAAGTCTCCCCAATCCCACAAGATACACCGTTCCTATTATTAATTATTCCATGATATTATAATATGCTATAACTTATTTCTATATGATTCAATTTAAATCCATCGTACTATGCTTATGTTCTCCACCCATAGTTGATTATATTGTTCTGGATCCACAATAATTAACAATTAGCCCCCTCTCTAATATTGAAAGACATATTTATATTGTGGATCTATCACCACATACATCCCTAAACCGTAGATCATCACCATGAAATAATAGGTGGAGATTAATAATACTATTTGATTTAAGCATATGTAAAGCAAATATAACTTTAATGCAATAAAATTAGTCACAAACAACATAAAAATGAAAAGAGAAACATCATTTTAGCTAATTTCACGTTATAAAACTCGGAAGCCTATTGCAATAAACTCATACAATCTTTCTAAAGCTGGCTCATAATTACTAAGAAATATATAATTTAATTTCAGGTTGAGAAAAGTGACATTAAACTTTGATTAATAAGAAATAGGCAAAAAAACTATTTAGATGTAGAAGAGAAAAATCTAAAAAATGACTCCGTGTCAGTTCCGATTCAGATTTCTCCTCTTCAAGATCATATGCTTGTGCAAGCTTACCATCATGATTCGAACACAATATGTGAATGACACCATGCCAACACATACACCATGCTTTGAAATTAGCTATCATTAGAATCCAAAACTCATGAAGATCATAAAAATGCATATATGAAATTTCTCTTTTGCTAATAGTGACCGCAAATTGCTCCCATTTGCCAAACTGTTAAAAACTTAACTACTTTAGATGGCAATGTCGGGTAACGTCTTTGGAAAAATGTCATTAATCTCTTTACTAACCAACCTAATATATTCCCTTATCCATCTAAGTTACAAGTTCTTAAAATTCACACCGACTATAAGCACTTCTCCAACATCAGGATCATAGAATCTTTTCAATAAACTGATTACCGTAGACTTTCCACTTCTACTTTGACTCACTAAAGCATCAGTTGTGCCACTTGGAACAAACAATGAGAATCCAATAAATATCTGCACATCTGGCCTAGCAGGGTATCTAAAGTAAACATCTTTGAGTTCAATATCTCCCTTTATGTCTTCCATGAGAACACCACTTGTGTCACATGCATCAATTTTCGGCTTTCTTTTAATTGTTTCAAACATTTTATATGATGCTGCTTGTCCTGCAACAAATGAATTATTGCATGGGGATGCCTGACCTAGTGACCTGCCAATAATGATAATTCATCAGGCAAAAATCTTATGCCTAAAACAATATCGTATCAATATCTATGCAATTTACTCAATCAGGTATCAACACCTCACTTACATTCCACCGGTCAAAGAGCTATGATCACATTAATGACACTTCCACCATTACATGCAAGTAAAACTATAGCTAGACGCCATCCTTTTATAAACGCGATCACAAAGCCACTAAAAAAATTCAAAGTAAGTTGAACAAACTTCCTAACCTATCATAATTATAATACATTCTCAGTATAGTCTCACTTCATTTCCACCGATAACATGGAAGATCATGGTTCATGACACATTTTATTCAAAAAAAAGAAGAAGAACCATACCTTTTATCCCATTGCATCTTGAATGAGAATTGTATAACCATACATTCTACCAATAACCTCTCATGTGTTTGTTTCAGTGTCATAAAACATAATATCCTATTTCAATATTGTTTTCAAGTACAAACTACGAATCCTCGCAGCTTGTCTTTCTCCTGTCACCATCCAACATGATACCTCTACAACATGCAACAACAAAATAACCCTTATCGTCAGAATTAATTAAAGAATTACTCTCCAACAAAATAAACCAACTAACAGCTACGCATGCATCAGAGTCGGAAGGTGTAAAAGAAAAAGGAGTATCAAAAGACGAAAAAACTTACTGTGGAACCGAACTCGCAGAAAGAGAATATATTGCACAGAGGTTGGAAGCATTACCTTCCTGATAACCAGCAAACACATTAGCTAGTGAAATAGTTCCATCCTTAGTTTCAACAACTACAACAATCAACAAAATACAATCAAACACAGTAAACCAAATAAAGCATTATGAAAACTTCTACACAAAATTCGCGTAACTATATTCAAATTTCAAGGATCTAATCCAAACAAAGCACAAAAAATCATCATCCACAAGTTCATATACATAATTAATCAAGAATCACTTCCAACACAAATCCAAAACTATTTTAGGGTATAATCAAGGTTCTACAAAAATGTACTGCAACAAAAATTCCAAAATCGATTATCATTTTTCAATATCAGAGCTTGCACATTAAAATCAATTATAAAAGTAAGCGAAAAATAACACAGCAAATTGATCAATGCTATTACATAATTTCACACATCTTCTTAATATTTCCATGGTATATGCAGCAGAAATATTTATTTAATCAAAGTGCTAAAAAGCTATACCAAGGTGCTAACTGCAAGTACATTTTCCAGAACTTCTTTGCCACTACAAAACCATGACCAAAAGGACTATATGGTATAATTCCAATACCAAGCTCTCTGTATCAGCAAAAACTATAAATAAGAAAATTATCATCTAACAAAAACACAACCAAGAGCTGCTGGTTCAAACTTGGAGAGGAACTCAAACTAACCTGCAGAGAGGAACTATCTCGTCCTCAATATCGTGAGTCCAAAGAGACCACTCTATTTGTAAAGCTATGATGGGATGAACATCACGTGCTCTCCTTATCGTATCAGGACTAGCTTCAGATAGGCCAATATACTTCACTTTTCCCTCTTCCACCAGTTCCTTAAGTTCACCAATCTATAACTGAACAAACATGTTAACAATTAATCTAGTAAAATCAGTCATATAATGCAGCATAAGAAGAATGATTATCTGTATCCTCAATAGGCACATATGTATCAACTCGGGCGAACCCTTGAACCACCATCTCCCTAATCTTTTCACGTTTTTTTCAAAACAACATCAACCACCCATGAACCTAAAAACACCCACAACAACAGAGACAATTGTGCAAACATTTGGTGTGCTAAATTTCACAACGACGTCCACCTTTCCTCCGATTGTCTCAGCCGTCGATAATTTTGCTTTCCTCTTTACTCACATTTGAATCTCTCACTTGTGTATTTTTGTTACTGGAAGATGAGAAGTCGGAAGAGAGAGAGAGAGAGATGGAAGAAGGAACATGAAGAAGAAAGCCTATAGATAGAGAGAGAAAGATAGGAAGAATGGTTAACATTGTATTTGAGTTGGGAAATCAAACAGTTTTCTTAATAACAAATGAAACATTTAATAGGGGTACAATATAAAATAGAAAGTTAAACCGTCTGCAAAAAAAATTGATTCTTTATCATTAATTAGTAAATTTAAAGAAACAATAAAAAGTTAAATGATATTATAACTATTATTAACTATAAAAACATTTCTTAAAATAACAAATGTATAAATAACATAGACTCTAAAAATTTGACAATTGACAAATTTGTTACGAAACTCCTTTTGCATTATTATATTTCCTTCAATCCTATACTCGAAATTATATTAAATAATTGATATTATTTGATATTGATTAATATGCTTGAATCTAAATTAAATTTTCTTTTATAATCAAAATCAAATTCGCCCTACAAGATAAAAGATCTATAATTTAAAATTAAAGGGTGATAAAATGGATGAATATGATGAAAATAGATTGGATTAATAATGGATAGATTAAAATAATTTATTAATCCATTAACAATCCACTAAAACTTTCTTAAAAATATTCAATTCAATTCATCCATTAAGAATAAAATTCATCTAATTCATCTATTAACAACATTTTAATTGATGAATATCCATTCATCCAAGAAAAAATTAATTTAAATATATTCTTTTTTTTTTAAATATATTTTGTATTTTAGAATAAACTCGATTTTTGGTATTTTCGAAAAAATTCAGTATTTAATTTTTCGAAAAAAAACACGATTTTTCGATTTTCCAAAAAAAACTCTATTTTTATGTATTTTTGAATTTTTCCGATTTTCCTAAAAAACTCGATTTTTAGGAAAAATTCAATTTTTTGATTTTTCGAAAAACTCATTTTTTAGAAAAAAAACTCGATTTTTCGATTTTCCAAAAAAGCGTGATTTTCGATTTTCTGGAAAAACTCAATTTTTCGATTATCCAAAAAAACTCGATTTTCCGTATTTCCGAAAAAACTCAATTTTTCAGTTTCTAAAAAAACTCGATTTTTCGTATTTTCGAAAAAAATCGATTTTTAGATTTTCCGAAAAAAACTCGATTTTTTGAATTTCCAAAAACGTCTATTCATCGATTTTCCGAAAAAAAACTCAATTTTTTTATTTTCCTAAAATACTCGATTTTACAAAAAAACTCGATTTTTCAAAAAAGCTCAATTTTTCGATTTTCCAAAAAAAAAGTCGTTTTTTGATTTTCCCAAAAAGTTGACTTTTCGATTTTCCAAAAAAAAACTTAATTTTTCAAATTTTTTTGAAAAAACTCGATTTTTCAATTTTCTGTAGGAAAAACTCGATTTTTTTATTTTCCAAAAAAACTTATTTTTTTGAAAAAACACGATTTTTCGATTTTCTAAAAAACTCAATTTTTCTGATTTTTCGAAAAAAAACTCGATTTTTTCAATTTAAAAAAAAAAACTCAATCTTTCAAAATATACTTTAAAAAAACTCGACTTTTCAAAATTCTGAATAGCATAGTTTTCTTTATTTTAAAAAAAATAAATTTTTTTTTATTAATTTTAAAAAAAATAGACTTATTAAATTTAAATAATAGTATAAAAATAATTTATCAATAAAATGTGATGGATGAATTAGATGAATTTAATCCAATTTATTAACTTACTTTTTATTTAATAAATGAATTAGATGAATTTTTCAGTGAATAAATTGGATGAATTTTATCTTAATAGATTTAATTATCACCCGTATTTAAAACCCTATTTAGCATCTAGCTCCACTCATAGATGTGTGTTAGTCCCTATTTAGCATCTAGCTCCACTCATAGATGTGTGTTAGTGTTAGTGCACCTTAAAGAAACGATACCATTGACTTCAATTCCCACCAATTAAAATATAAAAAAAAACCTGTCGTTGCCATGAACCAAACCACCATGCATTCCGTTTCCGATACTGAGCAAAACTCAAACTCAGCAACACCATCAGAACAACCCATAGATACACCAATGACAGAACCACCACAACCCCAAAACGACGTCGTAACAACATCCCCTCAAAACCCAACCATCAACAACTCCTCCGAAGACCAACCCCCCACTCTCTCATACCCAAACCCTACCCAACCTCGAAAACGACGTCGTCGCAAGAAATTCTTCACCGAACTAACCGCCACAACCTCCCTCTCCAAAAACCGCAAAAACGGCGTCGCTAAAGACTGCGATGACGAAGCCCTAATTGCTATTTCCGTTGGGTTTCCTGTTGATTCCTTAACGGAGGAAGAAATCGAAGCGAATGTCGTTAAGACAATCGGTGGTTCCGAGCAATCGAATTACATTATTGTTCGGAATCACATTCTTGCTAGGTGGAGATCCGATGTTAATGTCTGGTTGACTTATGATCTTGCTGTGAAGTCGATTCGCTCTGAACATAGGGGTTTGGTTGAAACAGCTTATAGGTTTTTGATTGAGCATGGTTATATTAATTTCGGACTTTCTCCGGAGATTAAAGCGGTGAAGGTTCGGTCTTTTGATGGAGTTGAGAGGGGGAGTGTGATTGTTATTGGTGCTGGGTTGGCGGGTTTGGTTGCTGCCAGACAGTTGGTGTTTTTAGGGTTTAAAGTTTGTATTTTGGAAGGTAGGACTCGGCCGGGTGGGAGAGTGAAGACGAAGAAGGTGTTTGGTGGGGATGGGAATGGGGGTGATGTTGAGGCTGCAGCTGATTTGGGTGGAAGTGTTCTTACTGGTGTTAATGGGAACCCTCTTGGTGTTCTTGCTAGACAATTGGATTTGCCGCTTCATAAGGTTAGGGATGTTTGTCCTCTTTATATGCCGGATGGAAAATGTGTTGATTCTGAGGTTGATTCTAGGGTTGAGGTGTTGTTTAATAAATTGTTAGAGAGGGTTTGTAAGCTTAGGCAAGCTATGATTGAAGAGGTTAAGAGTGTTGATGTTCCTTTAGGGACTGCGTTGGAGGCGTTTCGGAGGGTTTATAAGGTTTCGGAGGATAAGGAAGAGAGGATGTTGTTGAATTGGCATCTTGCTAATTTGGAGTATGCGAATGCTACTCTTATGTCGAATTTGTCTATGGCTTATTGGGATCAGGATGATCCTTATGAAATGGGTGGTGATCACTGTTTCATTCCTGGAGGGAACGAGACGTTTGTTCGTGCGTTAGCGGAGGATCTTCCGATTTTCTATGGGAGGACTGTGGAGTGTATTAAGTATGGAAGTGATGGGGTGTTGGTGTGTACTGATGAACAGCAGTTTCGTGGGGACATGGTGCTTTGTACTGTGCCTTTGGGTGTTCTTAAGAAGGGGTCGATTACATTTGTGCCTGATCTTCCTCAGAGGAAGAAAGATGCAATTCATAGGTTAGGGTTTGGTTTGCTTAATAAGGTTGTAATGCTGTTTCCGACTAATTTCTGGGGTGGGAACATTGATACGTTCGGTCACTTGACGGAGGACTTGAGTATGAGGGGCGAATTTTTTCTGTTCTATAGCTACTCTTCTGTGTCTGGAGGCCCGCTTCTCGTGGCTCTTGTAGCCGGGGAAGCAGCTATTAGGTTTGAGATGATGTCCCCGTTGGAGTCTGTCAAAAGGGTGTTGGATGTTTTGAAAGATATTTTTCATCCGAAGGGGATCGTTGTTCCCGATCCCGTTCAGGCTGTCTGTACTCGGTGGGGACAAGATACCTTTGCGTACGGATCTTATTCTTATGTTGCTGTTGGATCTTCAGGAGACGACTACGATATACTTGCAGAGAGTGTTGGAAATGGGAGGGTGTTTTTTGCCGGAGAAGCAACTAGCAAACAGTATCCTGCAACAATGCATGGAGCATTTCTTAGTGGAATGAGAGAAGCTGCAAACATTTTGAGAGTGTCAAAGAGAAATGACAATTCTTCGACGCCCTCCAACACAGCCAAAAACATTGCAGCTGATGAGAATGACGATTTGAACAAACTATTTGCAAATCCTGACCTTAGTTTCGGGAGCTTCTCCGCGGTGTATAATCCAAAACCGAATGATCTTGAAACTAGATCAATACTAAGAGTTAAAATTGGAGGAACTGTATTGGATTCTCCCAGTCTTTATCTTTACGCAGTGCTTTCAGTGAAGCAGGTCATCGAGTTGAGTCAAGTTGAAGGAGACGAGAACAGAATGAGAATGATAAATCGTGATTTAGGGGTTAGTTTAGTTGGGAAGAAGGGTTTAGGTAGCACTGCTGAATCTCTTATTGTAAACATAAAGTTGTTCAGATCTCAGCTTTATGAAGCAGAAAATGGTCTTAGTAGTAGTAGTATCATGGAGGAATGAAATCTCCTGGTTTTTTTCTTTCTTTTCTTCTCACTCTTGGCAATTTTCTTATTGACTTCCACTGCTTACATTCTTTTCTGATTAGTGTTTGAATGTAGAAATGTTTAGTGCTAACTTTAATTACCATTGTATCAACAAAGCAAAAACAAAAAACTTTGCTAATTATCTAATACTCCTCAAGAATTTGTTGAACATGCTTTGGAGTATTGAGATGTTTTGGGTTCTGTTTTTTTCTGTATTCTTTTGTAACTTTGCTTTAGACCTATCTTTGGTACTCTTTTATCAGTTTACTATCGTCCTTTATAGTTTTAATATAATTCTTATAATTAAATAAATTTTTGTAAATTTTCAAAAAAAAATTTTAATTTATTTTTTATAAGTAAATAAATAAAATTTATTATTTTATTATAAAGTTATCTAATGGGGATTTTTTTTTTGAAATAACCAAGTATTAAAAAAAAAATCGCAAATAACCATGTTTCAGAAGACTCTCCAAAGGAGGAGCCATCTCACTTGGCGCCTACATCTACTTTTTAAGGGGAGGCGCCATCTCACTTGGCGTCTAGGTGTTTAGGGCTTGCCCTAAGCCAAGTGAGATGGCGC